TATATAATATATAATATATAATATATAATATATAATATATAATAATATATAATAATATATAATATATATAATATATAATAATATATAATATATATTATATATATATTATACTGTTATCTGTTATACTGTATTATAAATACAGTATAACGCTGTTGTATGAATCACTTTGTCGTATATAAAATGGAAATACTGTAAATTAGAAAAATTATTTTAGATTTACAGTTGAAATGGCTTCGAGTGCAAAGGGTTAACACTAGATTGTCGGAGCGAGTCAATTTGAATCATTTACGATTTTATTGCTATATATTGGATTGGCAACTAAGTAATTGCCGATTTCAGTTATAGATGTCTCTCACTCCCATTTTTATGATATCCGTAAATGTTATATTATAAAATTATTATTATTATTATGTTATTTTTTATTATCCGCGAATGTTAGCAACTGGACAAATTGAATGCAGCGGTCAAGGAAAAGCGACCAGAATTGGTCGATCGTAAAGGTGTAATTTTCCAGCAGGACAATGCTAAGCCGCACACGTCTTTGTCCATTCGGCAAAAATTGATGGATATTGGTTGGGAATTGATGTTACACCCACCATATAGCCCTGATCTCGCGCCATCGGATTACCACTTATTTCGATCCCTGGACAACTCCCTTCGTGGTAAAACTTTTAATGATGATGACGCTGTAAAATCTCACTTAACTCAGTTTTTGGCCGAAAAGGATCAGACTCTCTACGAGCGTGGAATTTTCAAGTTGTCAGAGAGATGGCAAAAGGTCATCGAACAAAATGGAAAATACATTACAGATTAAACTTCGTTCCAAGTAAAAAAAAATTTTTATTTCATTGAACAAATCGGCAATTACTTAGTTGTCAACCCAATATATAGGGAAAAACTTAAATGCTTTTTTTTTAAACATATGTTGGTTATTTAAAACATATGGTGGTCATAATTCTATTGAAAACCAACATACGTTTTAGAAAAAATTATTTAAGTTTTAAACAAATTATTTCAGTTTTTCTATATACATAGCATTATAATCGTAAATGAATCAAATGGACTCGCTCCGGCAATCAAGTATTAAAGTGGTATTCTGGTTAAGAACTTTCAAACAATTGAATTTTATTTTATCGCATTTTCTCAAAATATATGCCGTCGAAAGATACGTCTGAAACAGGATTTGTTTGAATTCGTGTGCGAAATTACAGATTTTGAAGACCGCTAATGTGTAAGTGTACACAATATTTCCACGTAACCGATTAACGCGAATACACCTTCTAAAACGGAATAACTTTTTAACAATCGGGTCAAGCGATCTAAATATTTTTGTTGGAATTATAAAGGGATTAGTCCATTACACGATGTCTATAAAAGATGTTTTAAGAACATCGATTACTTGGAATGGCGAAACATTTTTTTAAATTTTTATCTGAGCCTATAATACAAATATGAAAAATTTTGATTGAAAATTGAAAAATTTGTAGAATTAGATAAATGTATTTTTAATTAGAGCTGTGACTTATGAGATATTGGGAGGATTTTTTAAATTGTCAGGAGACGATTTTTCTCGTGAAACAAGATTATGTATCACAGAGTATGGGAAACATACGTAATGGCAAGTAATGGGAGTAACATAAGTAATGGGAAAAAAGTGAACAATTTGTCCTGATCTTTTGTTACGTACGTAATCAAACTAAATTCTTGCAAGTTCTGGAATAGAATGTGTAGCCTTGACATCACCAATATGTCGATATACGTCCACAAAGAATTCAATTGCAGGCAATGTTCTTGCTTGCAGAACCTGGGAAACGTGTTTCGTCGATTTTTGATTTCTTCTGATTGATATTTGTCAAGCATGAAATTCTTAAATCTAAAAAATTAGAATAATATCCTGACGATTTCCTTCAATTTGTCAAAGAACCGGTTGATCAATGATATAATAATCAATTGTATATAAATGTATTATTGTTGTCGTTACAATTATATTTTATTATTATCATTAAATTAAACTGAATTAAATAACAAGTGAAAAGAATCTAATCTAATGAAAAGGTATGAGAGAAAATAATTTTTTAATGTTGTTCATCCGTTCTCCCTTAATTAATGCTTCCATGTGAACACTTTACTTCACATAACAAATCATAGAACATTATAATTTTTACTAGAGCATCCTTTTGAAAGCTTTATATTTTGCATGGTTATTCGAACTATGTGACCTTGCTTCGCGAAAGGCCGCGAAATTTCGCAGCCTTTTATTAATTATAATGTGCACATTTACGTCTCATTTTAACAGGAGGACAATTCAGTGGGACTTGACGGACTGTAACCCTTTCCACTGCAATCTCTTTCATAGTTACGTTGATCAGTTTTTCCTTCTACCAAATAAATTCCTGCAATTGAAAGAAATTTTATATTAATTAAATGTTAACCTTTACTTCGATGTTTAAATATTGATAATGGTAGAGTAAAATTTTATTTCGATTCAAAAGACGCGAATAACATTCACATTCAGTGGATGTGCATCTTTGTGCAAAGTAAATATATTGTGCATCCGTTGCAAGAAGCGGGAACTGCATAGAAATTTATTTCCCTTTTGAATAATTTCAATGAGATATAATTAATATAATAACTTTATAATTAATATAATATTATTATATTATTGCATTAAATTATTATATTAAGAAAATATTATATTAAATTAATATAATATAATTAATATAATATAATTAATATAATAATTTTTACAATAGTGTCGGTTTACTGATTTTTGTCATAAATTGCATAAGATCCTCAGTCTAACCATAAATAAAAGGAATTAATAATCGTCGTCGAAATAGTAAAACAGTTCTCGTTGCCACTTATTACATCTACCTTATTTACGAGGTTCCTCAGCTACTCTCCTGTCTCACGAAACACCCGGGTAATCGGCCGTGCCTTCAGATGCCAGGGTGTTTTTTCTCCACCCGGTTGTCTCGTGGGTATTCGGATAACCGGGTGAAAGTGCCGGGTCTATCGGGCGGTTGCGAAACGTTGCGACCAGAGGCGAAAAATTGATTCGGGGCAGACGCAACGAAACGGGGCCGGGAAAAGGGGGAGGAGAGCGTGGCGCCAAAGCCGCGGCGATCCTCGAGCAGCGTCGCGGAGGGCTGTTCGGTTCTCCTCCATTATCGTAATTTGCAAATTTTTTTCGAGAAGCGCCGCGGTTTCGCGTCGGACCGTTTCGAAGGCTCGATAGTTTTCGGATAGAACGAGAGAGGGATGCTGGAGGACAGGGTGGAGGAGCCAAAAGAGGAGGCAGGGAGGAAAAGGAACCGCGAAGTCGGTGGCGGATTGGCGGCCTGAGGCGCGGTTGCAGATTCCCGGCGTGATGCCGGTGATTCGCGGCTTTGGTGCCCAGTAATCGTCGGTCCCCTTGCCCGGCGTGTTTCTCCTCCCTCGCAACTCTCCTCCGGTACCCTCTGGTTCCCTCTGGTACCCCCTGGTTCCCTCTCTGTCCCGAGTTCGCGTTCGCCGAGCTTTCGTTCGCCCCCTGCGCCTCCCGCGGGCGTTCTCGTACCTGCTTCGTCCTTTGATATGGCGCGGGCCCCGTTGCGTTGTACGTTCGGGAACGGGCACGGGGCGGTGAAGGGGGGGTAATCTCGCGGTAAATACAGCAATCGCTTGATGTGCCGTCCGCATTAATATAATTAGTCACCCCGAGCGCTCGAAAGCGACTCTCGATGCTCGGGAAGCCGACTGAACTCTCGGGACTCGACGCAAATCGACTCGACTCGACTCAACTCGACTCGACTCGACTCGACTCAGCTCGACTTGACTCGGCTTGACTCGATTCGAACCGAACCCGGGGGCAGTGTTTACGTGCATACGCAACCATGTTCGACTCCACTCGAGAATTCCAAGGGTTGGAGGAGCCGAGGGCGTGGTCATTCCGCGTTGCATCATTTTCATTTCTATCCGTGCAAACTGATATTCTCAACTTCGCCGGCCATGCCCCCTCTTCTTCTTGGTCAATGAAATTCGCGTCGCGTACGATTCTTCGCGACGCGCGCTATAGTCCGCGAGAAAAAGACGAACGGGGACTGGTCGGATGATCATTGGTACTAGTAACCGGGTGAAATAACGATCATGAATTTATTTAAGGACGGAGTTCAGATTTTTAATTATACCCTTGAGATAGCTTTTATTATCGTTATATATTTAGTGTTGGCATTTTTATAAAGTAGCACGTTCAATTTGATTTAATTTTAACGATACAAGTGATACTTTTTAATAGAATTGATTTTTAGATCATTGGTCATCTGGTTATTTGATAAAGGATTTTTTAGGTTCTTTAAATAAGGACATCGTTCGGATATTGTAATATTTTGGTTTCAAAGATCTCAGGCTTAGGATCAGAATAAATCAATAGTTCACATAACACGTTTTCTCAGATTCTGCAAGCGAGGACATTTTCTGCAGTTCATTTCTTTTAATCCTTTGCGGATCCAGGACATTTTTAGAGTGTTAATAATATTTTTCTCAGAAAACTAAATTTTGTGATCAAAGATTTAAACGACGGTGAGAGAGAGAGAGAGAGAGAGAGAGAGAGAGAGAGAGACAATGAACGATATATCCCAATTTTTCTTTGTGCACAGAATTGAATGACACGCTTGCAACTTCTGGAATAAAATCGACAACACGTCGACATTCGTTCTCAAAGGGTTACAGTAAATTCTTTCCAATTATCTCTCAGCTTGTAAACAAAAATAGACAATTTGGGAAAGGAGATACGATTATTCGATTACCGATTATTATTATTTTATAATCGCCGATTCTCATCAAGCTGCGAGGCTCGAATAATCGTAACCTCTCTTCCCAAATTGTCTATCTTTGTTTACAAGCTGAGGGACAATTGAAGAGAATTTACAGGGTAATTGAGTGGCTGAGCATTTGAGTAATTTTCGTTTAATTATCTCATAAGCCACAACTCTGATGATGATAATAATAATACTAACAATTTTATTCATACACATGGGTAAAAAATCCTTTGTTGCAAGAAAGAGAAGTAGAAAAAGTGATTTTGTATAGCTAACACATACGAATGCAATAAAAATAAAAATATATATATAATATAATAATACAGTACAAAAAGTAAGAAGAAAAAATAAGAAATAGTATAATATATATAATAAATATATACTAGTAAATTATACTAATTATTATATAATTATAATATATAATACAATTAGTTATATAATTAATATATATAATATTATATACTAATTATACTAACTATATAATGTTATTATATAATACTGTATAATATTATTGTACTAATTATACTAATAAATATATAAAACACAGAAAATACGATAAATGGAGGATTATCAGGCATAGCTAAAATCAGAATACAAAAGAAAGATTAATAAAACATTATAGAAAAATTATTAAATTAAGAAATTACTGATCATCGATAGTCGACGTCGCGATAGATCTCGTAACGACCGCGTTCTCTGCGTTCCCTCAGAATGGCGCCAAAGAAACCGGAGGAACCTGAAAGGAAACCGCTGATCGGCCGCGTGGGTACCAACCTGAAAGTTGGCATAGTCGGTATCCCGAACGTTGGGAAATCGACGTTCTTCAACGTGCTGACGAAAAGCCAGGCGGCGGCGGAGAATTTCCCGTTCTGCACCATCGATCCGAATGAAAATAAGTATCTACGTTCACTGCTAATTTCAGTCCTGTGTCATTTGTTTGGAATCGCGTTACGAAGCGTGCGGCAACGAACCTCAAAATGAACGTTACCGCGACGGAAAGACGTGGCAGCATAATCGGCGATGTGCGACAAAGTTACCCGACAAGAAAGAAAGCCCCGTGAAAAATGCAAGTTTCGCGCGGACGCGAGTTTCATCGTAAAGAAGAGCTTCCTCCCTTACATCAAAGGGCGGCCCCGCGACGACTACGAGCACCCTTGGCCCGAGCCCCATCGATGCGTCTACCCGAAGACGGTCTCGTATTACGCGTTCCACGAGGACGCGAATCCGCTCACCAGATTCAAGGGGAAACGCGAGTCCCGTCGATACGGGAACGTGGAGCCGCATTTCGAGCCTCCGGCGCACCCCTACGCGAGCCGCGACCCTTACCGCGAGACGGACGCCAGAACGAAATACCTCCGGACCGGTCCGACGTGCTTCGTTATTTTCGGGAAACCCGATTTAAACACCGCGAGGCTGGCAGCCATGTTGGCCGACTCTTGGAAGTGCGTGCTGATCTCGCCGGTGCAGCTCGTGGAGCGCGAGATCGAGCTGGCGTCGGAAAAGGGGAAACTGATTTCGGAGATCTTGAAGGCCGGCGAGTGTCTCGGCTCCGATATCATCGGCAATCTGGTCGAGAGCGCGATCAACGAGAGGGAGACGTTTCACAGAGGCTACGTGGTGGAAGGTCTGCCGTTGATCTCGAACAAGGTGCTCCCTTATCCTCGAACTTACCCGCCCGAAAACGAACGCAAGCTCGGCGAGAAGTTTCTGCAGCGCTATGGACCGGCTTTCGGGGGAACATGCGACACGAGCAACGAAAAGCGAGACGAATCGACGAGTTGCGTTCGCGATCCTCCCGAGACCGAAGGGTGCGCGACGAGGCCCGGATACGAGCGATTCATTCCCAATCAGATCGACGACATGTTCGCGTCCTGGCGTTTGAAGCCGACGGTAATCATCTACGCCGTTTGCCCCGACGAGGACTTCGTCAGGAAGCGAGGACATTTCCGCATGGACGCAGCGACCGGTCGGACGGTGGACGCGAGCGTGTCGATGATCGAGAAAGACGCCGAAGCGTCTCTCGCCGACGCGAACGTTTCGCTGGAGCTCTATCGGGGCCTGGTGGACGAGGAACGCGTTTCGGACGCGAAGCGGAAGAAATACTTATTGAAACGAATCTCTGACAGAAGATCGAACGTCGAGGCACAGCGCGAGACGTACAAACGCTTCGCGATGCCCGCCATCGACAAATGGGTCTTGCTACACAAGCCGGAGAACGTGATTCGGCTGGACGGCCGCGGCTCGGTGTCGCAGATGTTCCGAACGGTGATGTCCCGATTGCGCACGCTGCCAGTTCCCAGAGTGATCCTCGCGAAGAGATTCCTGGACCTCGCGGCGATGAGATTCGGCGGCGAAAGCCCGGTGCCCGTCGACGAGTTCGAGGACAGACCGAACGAAGAGGCCTTCCCGTACTTGGCGAACAGGGACACCGTCTCGCCGCTCTATCCCTGGCTTCTGTCGACTTGGAACTTCCTCTGCCCGGTCGAATTGGCCAGAGGAAGGACAACGGAAGGCTCGCCGAAGTTCGCGGTCAGATTCATGAACAAAATCTTCTTTCTCTCTTCAGACGAGGCGGCCGGCCTGTTCCTCGAGAACCCGAGGACCTTCGTGTGCCCTTTCGCTCCGCAACCCACGTGCAAGATCGCGGTATTCGGGCCGAGACTCTCCGGGAGATCGTCCCTCTGCAAGGTTCTAGCAGAGACGTTCGGAGGCGTCGTGGTTAATCCGGGCAAATCCGACAGCGATTCCGACGTCTTCTTCGATTCGGACTTCGAGCTGGACAGGCCCAATTCCCTCGCGGATCGGATATTGAGCATACCCCAGAAGGAAATTGACGTCGGGGTGTGGCGCGACGGCGGATACGTCGTCGACGGCATGTACCCCGACGTCGATACTTGGAAGACGACCACCGAAGGCTCGAATGTCGCGTTCGAGGACGCTGTTTTGTTGTACGACGAGGACCCGTACGAGTACCTGCTGTCCAAGTGGAAGAATATTCGCGAGAAGGAATATGAAGAGGAGCGCGCGAGCTACGACGACGACGACGAGGAGGAAGAGACCGACGGCCTGGCAGAGTATCTGAAACACGTGCGGCAGTTCGAGCTGGACTGGGAAGAGATCCGGGAAACGATAGCGGGCTCGTGCAGAAACCTGATTACCTGCAATCTCGGCGAGATCAAGAACGTCTCCGCGTTCGTGATCGACGCTATCAGAGATCGTTACAAGGATAAAGCGAGAGTGATGAGCGAGGACGAGCGGGAGAGGGAGAGAGACCTCGCGGAGTACGTGGCCATGTCGGACGACACGGAGAACGTGGGCGAGGAGGAAGAATTGGGGGAGGAAGAGCGTGGAACGACGTTGGAGAGCAATCCTCGTCTCGGTGACACGGACCAGTACTGTCCCGTGGCACTCGTCAAGCACAACGTCTTCTGGAAAGGCAAGGATGACTACAGCGCGGTTTTCGCGAACAAGATCTATCGGCTGTCCAGCGGGTCGGCTCTCGAAGAGTTCATAAAGGATCCCGAAGCGTTGTCGTTGCCGTTCGAAAGGCCGCTGCTCGCGATACCGCCGCTTCGAATCAGCGTGATCGGCCCGCTGGGCAGCGGGAAAACCAATTTAGCAAAAGCGATCGCTCGGGAGTACGGTCTAGCGTACGTCGATCAGTTCGACAGCTTCAACAGGTACATGATCGAGAGCGGGATACCGCCGCTTCAGCACAGAAGCATCACGGTGTCGATCCGAGATCGTCTCGAGGAGGAGGTCGAGCTGCCGGAAGAGCTTGACGACGCGAGGTACGTCACCGATCGCGCCACGTTGCACACGTTCGTGCGACGTTACTCGCGATCGGGTAGCGCGTTGCCCAAGTTCATGCTCAGGGAATGCTTGTTAAAATATTTCAAGGGATTGTACGGCGCGGAGGGCGTCGTGATGGAGCAATTCCCGAGTTGTCCGCAGGACGTCGAGACGGCGTCCGAGCATTACGCGGTGCCCGACGTGATAATAGAACTCGAATGCGGCAAGGCGACGGCGCGCCATAGGACGATGATGGAGATGGCGAAGTTGTGGATGACCACGCAGGACAAGGAGAAGCATCTCGAGCAGCAGCGCTACATGGACGAAGTGGACCGCTACGAGAAAGAGAAGGACGCGTGGACCAAGAAGAGGCTGAGCCGGGCGATCATGCTGCTGCGCGGAGGAGAAGAAGCGGCTTCTTGGCACTCGTTAGGTCTCTCCGATTCTGACAGCGACGCGGAATCCCGCAGCAAGCAAACCCGAAGGCTCGACGAGGACGACGACGACGACGACGACGACGACGACGACGACGACGACGACGACGACGACGACGACGACGACGACGACGACGACGACGACGACGACGACGACGACGACGACGACGACGACGACGACGACGACGACGACGACGACGACGACGACGACGACGACGACGACGACGACGACGACGACGACGACGACGACGACGACGACGACGACGACGACGACGACGACGACGACGACGACGACGACGACGACGACGACGACGACGACGACGACGACGACGACGACGACGACGACGACGACGACGACGACGACGACGACGACGACGACGACGACGACGACGACGACGACGACGACGACGACGACGACGACGACGACGACGACGACGACGACGACGACGACGACGACGACGACGACGACGACGACGACGACGACGACGACGACGACGACGACGACGACGACGACGACGACGACGACGACGACGACGACGACGACGACGACGACGACGACGACGACGACGACGACGACGACGACGACGACGACGACGACGACGACGACGACGACGACGACGACGACGACGACGACGACGACGACGACGACGACGACGACGACGACGACGACGACGACGACGACGACGACGACGACGACGACGACGACGACGACGACGACGACGACGACGACGACGACGACGACGACGACGACGACGACGACGACGACGACGACGACGACGACGACGACGACGACGACGACGACGACGACGACGACGACGACGACGACGACGACGACGACGATGACATCGCGGACATCGATTCCGAAACGATACGAAACAAGAGGCAGGAATTGCTGGAGATTTGGAAGCAGGACAATCCCGAGCCCGTGCTGTTCGCCGATTGGGAGGACTACGTGGCAGCTAGGCTGCGAATGGAGCAAGACTTCGAGGAGGCGTACGCGAACGACACGCGGCTGTTACAAGCCACGCGAGAAGCGCTGAGGGACGAATCGATACCGTGCATGAAGCTCAACAGCGAAGGCAGCTTCGACACCGTCCTGCTGCGAGCGATGATCGCTCTCAAACCTTACACGACCCGGGACCTTACCGCCTTGAAAAGGCCGTACGCGATCGACCTCGAAACCGCGGAGATGCTTCTCGAGTGCGGCTACTTTTTCCTAAGCTCCTTCGGCCGATGGTGTCCGGTGCAGTTGTACCTGAAGAAAACACCTCTGCAGATGTTCCTGCCGTCGGAGGCTCGCCAGGAAGTCTTCCCTGTGATCCATCGACAGTTCGTTTACTTCCTAGTCGGGGAGGACGCTCGATCCGCTTTCCTCAAGAATCCTTGCAAGTACATCGAGCAGGACTCCTGCGCGCCCGTTATCCCCTTTCGGCTCGCCATCATCGGGCCGCCGAAGTGCGGGAAGACGAGTCTCGCTCGTCGATTCGCGGAGAAGTACGGCGTCAAGGTGGTGACTCGGGGCGCGGCTCTGCGACACCTGCCGAATCACTTGCCCTGGACAGAGTCCGCGCAGATCGCGGAGTCCCATCTCCGCGAGGGTCGCCGCGTCCCGATGGAATCCGTGGTCCGCGCCGTCGAGATCTGCTCGATCGATCCGCTGACGGCCGCTCAGGGCCTCGTCTTCGACGGGTTCCCGTCGAGCCGCGACGAGTTCGAGAAGCTAGCGCTGCTAGGCATCCAGCCTCTCCTGACCCTCGATCTCGTCGCGAATCTCGAGTTCTGTTTGCAATGCCTGGCGAGCCGGGTCCAAGAACCTCCGCAGAAATTCCCGAACTTCTCCGGGGAGTTTCTGAAGCATCGGTACGCGAACTGGGACATCGATCGGGCGGGCTTCCGCGAGTGGCTGAAGAGGTACACTCAGAACGTGGTCGAGCTCGACGCAACGAGGAGCACGTGGCACGTGTGGACGAGGGCCGACGAGGAAACGTGTCTCAGGTACGCTCGGATCCGGTCGTACTTCCGCGAGAGCGATTACGACAAGTGCCACAGCTTGGAGTTCATGAGCGTGTCGCCGTACGAGTTCAAGGCACGGCAGAGCGAGTTCGAGGCGTATTGCCCCGGCTGTTTGCTCCGCGACGGGGCCACGAAGAGCTCGGGGCTCGTGCCCGATCGCCGGGGAATGGTTCAGCTTCGAGGACACTTCTACTGGCTCTGCGGGGAACACTTAGCCGACTTCGCGACGAATCCGCTCAAGTATCTGCCGCCTGCGAGCACGGCGAGCCTGCCGAAGGATCGGGCTCGCATTCTCACGGAAACCGTCGACGTGGAACACTTCTGTTGGACGAGACGCCTGCGAGTCGACGGCTACTGCCTAGTTAGCTACGCGGACAATCTCCCGGCTCGGAAACTCGTCCCCGGAAAGCCGACCATAGCAGCCCTCTACAAGGATCAACTGTACCTGTTCTGCGCGGAGGAGTGCCGCGACAAATTTCTCACGTATTCCGCGAGGTACGCGAGCGTCGACATCAAGTTCCGTCGCACGCTGCCAGCGATCAACGTCAAGGACCTGCCGGTGCTCGGCTTCCTCGAGCAAACTGTCGCGAGGAAGATAGTCCAGGTGGTGAACCAGATCACCGTGATCAGACCGAAGCTGCCGGGATTGTCGGCCGCGGCGACCGCCGCCGTGTTCATCGGGATCGACCTGAAGACTCGTAATCCTAGTTCGAACGATGTAAAGCTTTACCAGGAGGCCGACGACAGGCTGCGGATTCTGTACAAGGCGATCAAAGCTGCGACTCGCAACATGAAGAGGAAGCTGAACCCGTTCGTCACGGTGCCGGTCTACTCGGACATGGTATCCGTCGACGACGACATTACTCGGGCCGGGTTCCGAATGAGTAAACAGGTGTCCATACTGTCCCATTTCCATCCGCGGTCCTCGTACACCATCACGTTCCGTCGCACATCGCCGACGCAGCACATGCCTCTCGACGACGACGACGACGCATGAGTCCCGGAGTCTTTAAGATTCGTTGTACCGCAATTCGACGATCGATTCGTAGCCAAATAAACGGTTCGCTCGCGCCTTGTCTAACTCGGATCCCCTTGTTTTCCAGCACGTCGCGTGCCCGTGCCCGACGCGAGGTTCGATTATCTCTGCGAGTACTTCAAACCGGCCAGGTGAGTACCCGAGGCGGATACGTGCGTATTTCAGGAATATTTCAGGAACGGCGGCGGCGTATCGCCGAACGAGCTAGCACGGCGACGCGCGCGTCTATCCGCAAATGCACCCTCGCGATGGGAAACCAGTTGGAATAACTATTTGACATTTCCATACTTCTTCGCTTTTATTTTCGCGGAGCAAGGGACAGGGCCGCGGCGGCGGGGCGCGGCGCGGGGCACCGAGAGAAAACGGTACGTGATCTGCAATGCAGATTCGGCTAAATTCGTCTACGCGACACGGAGTCCATGTTGAACGTCGGCCGACTTTACATTGTCGTTTTCCGCGCGCTCGTTTCGCAGCGTCCGTGATCGACGAACGTTCCAATTTTTCAGCTTACCGACTCGATCTTTGGCGAGAAGGGGGAGCGAGGGAGGGAGAAAACAAGCGTTACAGATATATATCGGCAGATTTAGCGGCAGTTAATTAAAATCCGGTACGCGTGTCCGAGGTTGGTCGGCAACGATAATGGCCGTTTCATTGAAACACGTGGAAACCTCTGTACGTGCTGCGGTGTACAACGGCGCGGGTAACCACCGACACCGGCGAAAGCCCTGTTTACCGTGCCGAGCGTCATCACGCCGACTGGTTGACACGATGAGATTGAATGTACAAAGCAGCGGCGGAGTCACGGAGAGCGGAGAGAGAGAGAGACTGCGAATTGAAACGCGCCGCGATGATCGGAAGCAGGCCAATGGAACCGAGAAAAACATACAGGCGGGGAGGAGACGATCAGTATCGAGCGAGCGGCCCGATAAAAGTTGCGTTTGCTTAGCGACACGTGCTCGGTGTACAGTCGGGAGTCCGCGAATTCAAAGAGATTAAAATGCGAGACCGGCGCAGATCAAAGAGCGTCTCTTCAGCCCCGGCTGGAACACTCTTGCCAACGACATCGCACGGTCCAACTACCGGCACGTGTCGGATGATTCAACGAGCCCTAATGAAAGCCGCTCCGACGCGGAATTCCCCTTCTCGTTCATTTCACCGACGCCTCTCTTCAAAGGCTAATTGTTTAATGAGGCTACTCGCATTAGCATTTAAATACAGCTCGTTGTCACCGCGACACCCTCCTTTCCGATCCTCAGACGCGCGTGCAACGCTGCGAGTTACGATTCACGATTCCGCTCCCGCTGCTCTCGCCGTCGATATCCGACCGCTCTGCAACTTCTCGCTGTCGCTTTCAGCAAGGTGCCGGCCTTCTTGAACGTGGTGGACATCGCCGGACTCGTCAAAGGCGCCGCCGAAGGACAGGGCCTCGGGAACAGCTTCCTCTCGCACATCAACGCCTGCGACGGAATCTTTCATCTGTGTCGTAAGTTTTCGTGGACGAGTTCGTTGACGGGGTTTCGGTTCGGTCTTTACCAGAACTGGGTAATATTTATAGAGGAAACATTTGAATTATTTTATAATTTATATATATATATTATATAATTATATTTTATATTATATAATTATATTTTATATTATATAATTATATATATTATAATTTTTATATTTTATATTATATAATTATATATATATTATAATTTTTATATTTTTTAATTATTATTTTAACCCTTTGCACCTGAGTGGCGACTCCGAGGCGGGATTAACCCTTTGCACTCGATTGGTGACTCTGAGGCACCATTAAAATTTACGATGTCACGTTCTAAAGTAATTTTTACATTAGCAAAGCTTAGATTTAAAAAGATTGTTAAGAGCGTTACCGTTGTGTACGAGTCACAAGAGTCAATTTCATATGCATAAAATACACTTTCTCGTGTAAAATAAAAATACTACAAGCCAGAAAAATTATTTTAGATTTACAGTTGAAATAGCTTCGAGCATTGTTATGTCGCGTCTCAAAATAATTTTTTTGATCAAATTTGTTTGTATTTGAAGAGCCGTTGAAAGCCGTAACTGTTGCATAGCTCACAATATTCAATTTTATGTGCATAAAATGCACTAGGTCGTATAAAATGGTAAAACCGTGGGTCGGGAAAGCTATTTTAAATTTTGCGTTAATTCGGCTTCGAGTGCAAAGAGTTAAATAACACGTTGTCCACTATTCACAGATAACATAGTACTTCAAGTAGGACACAAAATTAACACAAAGTTTCAGTAAATAAAATATTTTATTTCGATAATCCACGGCTAAAGCGTGAAATAAATATTTCATTTTGATAGTGTAAATAATAAAAATGGCGGAAGATCTGAATAGATACAGTATGTTCATCGTCATAAAGCAATATACACGTTAGCAACTTTTTAGGTCCCGATAGATTTCATGAGAACTAGTTTTCGATGATTATACTCGTCGTGATACAAAATGTTGCCATTTCTTCGCGACAAGTATACTCGTTATAAGCTAACTGCTAGGTTATATGTTTTATAAATGCTACATTTAAACAAAATGTACAAAAAATCAAACATATATAATATAATCATAGTAACTTACGCGATTATCAAAGAAATTTCAACAGCTACTTCATCGTACTTTAACGAGTGTAACTCGTAATGGAGATTTCTAGCAAGAACTTGTTAAGTACGAATGTTATTTCGTTCTTTTAAGTTGGAATAAAATTCTGTTCTTCTCTCCACAATATTTAAGTATTCAAGAAAATATAGGCACACAATGAATATAAAAAAAAATTTTCTTCTAAGATATTATTCTCATCAAAAAACTTCTAATCATCATGACGGAGATGAAAATGGTACAACAAAGAGTATCAATCCCATAAGATGTATAATATTAATTATACATCTTACTTTATTGTATAAAACTGGAATGTCCTCAGTGTTCAACGCTATGTTTACGCAATCCGTCGAAATAACGGGTCATTAATTTTTTAATTTACGATTATTCAGAAAGTAAAGATACATTTATGTGTTATTTATTCAATTAATGGGATACTCACGGCAAATATTACATTAACGCTCGCTAAAAATCAGAATAAATGTCTTATTATTGCTTTTATAAATTATATGTTACATATAACGTGCACTAAAATATATATATTAATAATTAAAAAATATATATATATATTTTATAAATTATATATTGTATATAACGTGCACTAAAATATATATATTAATAATTAAAAAATATATATATATATTTTATAAATTATATATTGTATATAACGTGCACTAAAATATATATATTAATAATTAAAAAATATATATATATATTTTATAAATTATATATTATATATAACGTGCACTAAAATATATATATTAATAATTAAAAAATATATATATATATATTTTATAAATTATATATTATATATAACGTGCACTAAAATATATATATTAATAATTAAAATACATATATATTTTTTCAATTATTAATATATATTTTTTAGTGCTCGTCAAATCCAGCGTTAATGTACGTATATCCTATATATCGCTGCGCCACCACAGTTGTACATAAAGCAACACGCCTGTTAACAAACGAATACAAATAATATAATCTGAAACGAGACTCGGGACCTCGTGAAACTCGGCGCACGAGTTTCCAATGTTCGTGAAAGCTGCGGCTCTAACAACTTTCGTCGAAATTGCACCGCAGGAGCGTTCGACGACGACGACGTCACCCACGTGGAAGGCGATGTCAACCCCGTCCGAGATCTTGAGATTATCAGCGAGGAGTTGCGGCTGAAGGACATCGAGTTTCTGAACGGTCACCTCGAGAAGTTGGAGAAACTCGTGGTCCGGGGAAACGACAAGAAACTGAAGCCCGAATACGTGAGTAAACCTTCCTCCGCTTTCTCGCGAGCGTTCGATCGATACCAACCGATTGCAAGACAAAAAAAAAGAAAGGAAAAAGAAGAAAAGTGCAGCTAGGCGCGAAAGAAGTTTCGCGTAAATGCGACTAACTAAGAGAGCGAGAGCAGCGGGAACGAAAGCGGGCCGGGGGAATTAAGAGAGGAGGTGCACACACACACTCTGCTTCCTAGAACGAATCAATCGAATTACCCTCTTTCCGTGGATCGACCTACGGCAATTTCCGATCCTCCCTCGTTCCAGACTTCGCAATTTGCTAAAACTTTTCGAGAACTCGGGGCCAACTCCTCCGTCTTTTCTGCCGAAACTAATGGAGCGACGATCCGCGAATCGGCGGTCCTCTAATCACGGCTCGATCACGGAATCATTCCACTCAACCGCGCGCACTCGTGCGGCTAAATACCGAGCGGAACGTCGCGTCGCGCCGGTCTGCCGGGACCGTCGAGATTAAAGTGGATTTGCATAGCGAACCTGTTTGGAAAAAGCACAAAGTCACGCACGAACGGCCCGGCGGAGACTCTGAAATATCATTTTTTCGCAGGACACGCTGCTGAAAGTGAAGTGCGTCATGGTGGACGAAAAGAAGCACATCAGGTTCGCCGATTGGAGCGCCACCGATGTACGTCGATAACGTTCGATCGCTTTCATTTTTGCCGTTTAGCACGAGTCGATTAAAGGTTTTGCCTCTCTCTCTCTTTCTCTCTCTCTCTCTATTGTAGATCGAAGTACTGAACAAATATTTATTCCTCACATCGAAACCGGTTATTTATTTGGTGAACCTCTCCGAGAAAGACTACATCCGCAAGAAGAACAAATGGTACGTACGCGCTGTTAATAGACTGCGGATTTCACGCATTTTTTATAGAAATTTGTGGACGAAATGCAAAATAGCAGAAACGTTTAAATCATTTCAAAGTATTACTGTACTATTGTCGACTCATAAATAGAAAATACTTATTAAATGAAAAGAAAAGAAATACGTAAATGTCTATATAGCTCCTGCATCTTGTAATTAATGAAGACAATTTTTATTTTGCATAATTATCCGCAGTTTAGTAACAATGTATTTAGCAAATAACGATGTTTTAATCCGTGTGCTTCGTTGTATTGCAGTTTATTATCCATGAAATGTTGTAATAGCAAAAAGGAATCGTTTTTAACCGGAAAATACATCAGTCTTTTGCTACACTTGAGAAAGCATTGTTTTCTAATCATTTGAATAAAAAACAGTTTTATGTCTTAATTTATACTTCTTTTTCAATGTTCTAATTATCACGTTTTCGAAAATTTGTACAATTTTTTT